CCCCAAATCCTCATTTCCCCCCCCAAACCCCCTTTTTCCCCCCCCAGACCCCTTTTTCCCCCCCAAATCCTTTTTCCCCAACCCCTTTCCCCCCTCAAACCCCCTTTCTCCCCCCAAATCCTCATTTTCCCCCAGGCACCGCCTCCCCAAGGAGCAGTGGTGGCTGAAGCTGCGGCCCATCCTGAAGATCCTGGCCAAGTACCACACGGAGCTGGACACCTCGGACACGGCCCACATGGAGCACCTGAGCCGCAAGATCCCCGTGCCCAGCGTGTGACCCCCCCCCGGGCCACCCCCCGGAGCCTCGGGAACCCTCGGGAACCTTCTGGAACCCTCTGGGAAGCGGGACCCTCGGGGTCGGCTTTTTGGGGGGCTTTTAGGGGCTTTTGGGAGGGAAAAGGGGTCCTGTGGGAGGGCAGGGTGGGCACTTCAGTGGGAAACCCCCCGGAATTGGGATGCTTTAATAAACTCCCCCCTAAATCGTGTGACACCCCCCTGTCCCTGTGCCACCCCCTGGAGCCTCTGGAACCCTCTGGAAAGCAGGACCCTCGGGGTCGGCTTTCTGGGGGACTTTTAGGGGCTTTTGGGAGGGAAGAGGGGTCCTGTGGGAGGGCAGGGTGGGCACTTCAGTGGGAAACCCCCCGGAATTGGGATGCTTCAATAAACTCCCCCCTAAATTGTGTGACAGCCCCCTGTGTCCCTGTGCCACCCCCCAGAGCCTCGGGAACCCTCTGGAAAGCAGGACCCTCGGGGTCGGCTTTTTGGGGGGGGTTTTGGGAGGGAAAAGGGGTCCTGCAGGGGTTGCAGGTGGGCAGGGCGGGCACCACTTTGGTGGGAAACCCCCCAGAATTGGGATGCTTCAATAAACTCCCCCCTAAACTGTGTGACACCCCCCTGTGTCCCTGTGCCACCCTCTGGAACCCTCTGGAAAGCAGGACCCTCGGGGTCGGCTTTTTGGGGGGCTTTTGGGAGGGAAAAGGGGTCCCGTGGGAGGGCAGGGTGGGCACTTCAGTGGGAAACCCCCCGGAATTGGGATGCTTCAATAAACTCCCCCCTAAACTGTGCTCCAGCCCCTGGGGAATCGCTCCCTGGGGGAGGCAAACGCAGCCCCCCAGCCCTGATTTCCCCCCACCACAGCCAGGAACACGACCCGGAGTTGGGTTTTCCTTCCCTGAGCCTCCCCCAGGGTTTGGTTTCCCCCTGGAGAGCGCGGAGCAGCAGCTCCAGGGGATCCTGGAGGGGGCATCAGGAATGATCCCGAAAAACCAAACCCCCCAAAGAGGAAGGAAAGGGTGGGAGGGGGAGGCTCCAGCTCAGAGAGGTGGCTGATCCCGTGGGATCGGATGGGATGGGAACCCCCATCTCCTGCTCCAACTGGGCCATTCCAGAGGGGGAGAAACGTCTCCTCTGCCCTTGGGAATAACCTGAGGGGTGTCCTCCCCCCCTGCCCCCCTGCAGCCACTTCAAAAGCACCAAAATCACGGATAATGAAGGAAAACTGCACCTCTCCAGGGCAGAGGGAGCTGCAGACCCCCCGCCCTGGCTGTGACGGGCCAGGGCTGTTCCTGGGATTCCAGCTCATGGAATTCCAGCCTGGAGCTCCTCTGCCTCTGTTCCTGGGATTCCAGCTCACGGAATTCCAGCCTGGAGCTCCTCTGCCTCTGTTCCTGGGATTCCAGCTCACAGAATTCCAGCCTGGAGCTCCTCTGGCTCTGTTCCTGGGATTCTAGCTCATGGAATTCCAGCCTAGGGCTCCTCTGCCTCTGTTCTTGGGATTCTAGCTCATGGAATTCCAGCCTGGAGCTCCTCTGGGTCCCACAGGACCTTCCCTTCATTTCCCACCTCCCCAGAAGGAGTTTCCCTGTCCTCCCCAACCCCAGAAATCCTTCCTTTTCCCCCCCCGAGGCGGAAAAAAACCGGGAAGGAGAGGCCGTGGTAATGCAGGAGCCGGGATATAATTTGCCATGGGAGGGGCACTGCTGGTTCCAGGAGGGAACTCAGCGGAGCAGCAGCACCTTCTCCTCGAGGAAGCTGCTCCAAGAGTGTCTCTCAGCTGAGGAGCAGCAGTTCCTCCTGGGCAGCTGCTCCAGAGTTTTTGTCACTCGGCTCAGGAGCACAAAACAGTCCTTGAGGAGGCTGCTCCAAGGTTTTCACTCAGCTGAGGGGCAGAAAATACTCCTTGAGGAGGCTGCTCCAAGGTTTTCACTCAGCTGAGGGGCAGAAAATACTCCTTGAGGAGGCTGCTCCAAGGTTTTTGCTTGGCTGAAGAGCAGAAAACAGTCCTTGAGGAGGCTGCTCCAAGGTTTTCGCTTGGCTGAGAGGCAGCAACGCTCTCCTGGGCAGTTGTTCCGTGGTTCTCGCTGAGCTGAGGGGCAGCAGGGACTTCTCGTGGCAGGTGAGCAAAGGCAGCTGCTCCACAGTTTTCACTGAGCTGAGGGACAGCAGTTCCTTCTGGGCAGCTGCTCCAAGGTTTGCACTCAACTGAGCAGCAGCAGGAACTGGTGGGCTGGTGGGCAGGGGCAGCTGCTCCAGCATTCCTGTCCCTCAGCTCAGCAGCAGCAGGAACTCCTTGAGCTGCTCCAGGATTTGTGTCCCTCAGCTCAGCAGCAGCAGGAACCCCTCCAGGCTGGTGGGCAGGGGCAGCTGCTCCAGGATTTGTGTCCCTCAGCTGAGGAGCAGCAGGTACTCCTTGAGGAACTGCTCCAAGGCTTTCATTAGCTGAGCAGCAGCAGGTACTCCTTGAGGAACTGCCCCAGGATTCCTGTCCCTCAGCTGAGGAGCAGCAGGTACTCCTCGAGGAAGCTGCTCCAAGGCTTTCATTAGCTGAGGAGCAGCAGGTACTCCCTGAGGAACTGCCCCAGGATTCGTGTCCCTCAGCTGAAGAGCAGCAGGTACTCCTTGAGGAACTGCCCCAGGATTTTGTGTCCCTCAGCTGAGGAGCAGCAGGTACTCCTTGAGGAACTGCTCCAGGATTCCTGTCCCTCAGCTCAGCAGCAGCAGATACTCCTTGAGGAACTGCTCCAGGATTCCTGTCCCTCAGCTGAGGAGCAGCAGGTACTCCTTGAGGAACTGCTCCAGGATTCCTGTCCCTCAGCTGAAGAGCAGCAGGTACTCCTTGAGGAACTGCCCCAGGATTTGTGTCCCTCAGCTCAGCAGCAGCAGGTACTCCTTGAGGAACTGCTCCAGGATTCCTGTCCCTCAGCTGAGGAGCAGCAGGTACTCCTTGAGGAACTGCTCCAGGATTCCTGTCCCTCAGCTGAGGAGCAGCAGGTACTCCTTGAGGAACTGCCCCAGGATTTGTGTCCCTCAGCTCAGCAGCAGCAGGTACTCCTTGAGGAACTGCCCCAGGATTCCTGTCCCTCAGCTGAGGAGCAGCAGGTACTCCTTGAGGCTGGTGGGCAGGGGCAGCTGCTCCAGGATTTGTGTCCCTCAGCTGAGGAGCAGCAGGTACTCCTTGAGGAACTGCTCCAAGGCTTTCATTAGCTGAGCAGCAGCAGGTACTCCTTGAGGAACTGCTCCAAGGCTTTCATTAGCTGAGGAGCAGCAGGTACTCCTCGAGGCTGGTGGGCAGGGGCAGCTGCTCCAGGATTTGTGTCCCTCAGCTCAGCAGCAGCAGGTACTCCTTGAGGAACTGCTCCAGGATTCCTGTCCCTCAGCTGAGGAGCAGCAGGTACTCCTTGAGGAACTGCCCCAGGATTCCTGTCCCTCAGCTGAGGAGCAGCAGGTACTCCTTGAGGAACTGCTCCAGGATTCCTGTCCCTCAGCTGAGGAGCAGCAGGTACTCCTTGAGGCTGGTGGGCAGGGGCAGCTGCTCCACAGCCTCGGGCAGGAAGCGCACTCCGAGGCTGCGGCGCACGGCGCAGCGCGCCAGCCCCTGCAGGCTGCCGGGGGCGGCGCCCAGGGCCCCCAGCCTGTCCCCGAGCCGCGGGTCCCGGTCCCGCGCCGCCTCCCAGGGCTCCAGGTGGCCGGCGGCGCGGCGCAGCAGCTCCAGGCACGAGTCCTCGCGCTCGGAGCCCAGCCCGCGCAGCAGCAGCGCCACGAGGCGCGAGGCCGGGCTCTGCCCCTTGAGGTTGCGCACGCGCGCCTCGGCGCCGAAGTCCAGCAGCACGGCCACGCTCTCCAGGTTGCCCTTCATGGCGGCCCAGCTGAGCGGCGTGTCGGCGTTGTAGTCGCGCGCGTTGACCAGGGCGCCGCCGTCCAGCAGCGCCCGCGCGCACTCGGCGTGGTTCTTGAAGGCCGCCCAGTGCAGCGGCGTGTCGCGGTTGCCGTCGGCCGCGTTGGGGTCGGCGCCGAACTCCAGCAGCAGCTCCACGCAGGCCTCGTCCTTCTCGGCCGCGTAGTGCAGGGCCGTGCGGCTGTACCCGTCCAGGGCGTTCACCTGTGGGGACAGGGGTTAAACCAAGGGTTAAACCTGGTCTGTGTACCCGTCCAGGGCGTTCACCTGCACGGACACGGGTTAAACCAAGGGTTAAACCTGCCCTCTGTACCCGTCCAGGGCGTTCACCTGCGGGGACAGGGGTTAAACCCTGGTCTGTTTACCCGTCCAGGGCGTTCACCTGCGCGGCACGGGTTAAACCAAGGGTTTTAAACCCTCCTCGTCCCGTCCAGGGCGTTCACCTGCGGGGACAGGGGTTTTTAAACCAAGGGTTTTAAACCTCGCCCTTACCCGTCCGGGCGTTCACCTGCGGGGACACGGGTTTTAAACCAAGTGTTTTAAACTGGATGGTACCCGTCCAGGGCGTTCACCTGCAGGGACAGGGGTTAAACCTGCCCTCTGTACCCGTCCAGGGCGTTCACCTGTACAGACAGGGGTTAAACCAAGGGTTAAACCTGGCCTGTGTACCCGTCCAGGGCGTTCACCTGCGGGGACAGGGGTTAAACCAAGGGTTAAACCTGGTCTGTGTACCCGTCCAGGGCGTTCACCTGCGGGGACAGGGGTTAAACCAAGGGTTAAACCTGGCCTGTGTACCCGTCCAGGGCGTTCACCTGCACGGACAGGGGTTAAACCTGCTCTCTGTACCCGTCCAGGGCATTCACCTGCGGGGACAGGGGTTAGACCAGAGGGTTAAACCCTCCTCTGTACCCGTCCAGGGCGTTCACCTGCAGGGACAGGGGTTAAACCTGGCCTGTGTACCCATCCAGGGCATTCACCTGCGGGGACAGGGGTTAGACCAGAGGGTTAAACCCTCCTCTGGACCCGTCCAGGGCGTTCACCTGTGGGGACAGGGGTTAAACCTGCCCTCTATACCCATCCAGGGCGTTCACCTGCAGGGACAGGGGTTAAACCTGGCCTCTGTACCTGTCCAGAGCGTTCACCTGCAGGGACAGGGGTTAGACCAGAGGGTTAAACCCTCCTCTGTGCCCGTCCAGGGCGTTCACCTGCGGGGACAGGGGTTAAACCTGCCCTCTGTACCTGTCCAGAGCGTTCACCTGCAGGGACAGGGGTTAAACCTGCCCTCTGTACCCGTCCAGAGCGTTCACCTGCAGGGACAGGGGTTAAACCTGCCCTCTGTACCTGTCCAGAGCGTTCACCTGCGCTGCGGGGACACGGGTTAGACCCGGCCTAGGGCTGAGATTAACTGGAACCTGGCTCAAAACTGACCCAAACCTGACCCAAACCTGACCTGAACTCAGTTTAAACCTGAGCTAAACCTAATCTAAATCTAACCTGAATTTAAACCTGACCTAAACCTGACCGAAACCTGACTTAAACCTGACCAAAACCTGACCAAAACCTGACCTAAACCTGACCTAAACCTGACCAAAACCTGACCTAAACCTGACCAAAACCTGACCAAAACCTGACCTAAGCCTGACCTAAGCCTGACCAAAACCTGACCAAAACCTGACCTAAGCCTGATCAAAACCTGATCTTAACTTAAACCTGATCTAAACCTTACCTGACCTAAACCTTTAAGTTTAAACTAATCCTAACCTTAAATTAGGCTCAGTTTAGGTTTAAGTTAAACCTAACCTTTAATTAAGTTTAATCCCCCAAAGTCCCACTAGTCCCACAAAGATCATCGAGTCCAACCCTTGACCCTGCACAGGACCCTCCCCTAAAATCCCACCAGGATCATCCAGTCCAACCCCTGACCCTGCTCAGGACCCCCCAAAACCCCCCAGTCCCAAATCCCAACCCCTGAGAGGATCATCCCAACCCCGTCCCTGAGCTCTGGCAGGTTTGGGGCCGTGACCAAACCCCGGGGAGCCCCTTCCAGTGCCCGACCCCGCTCTGGGGGGGGAGGAAGAACCTCTTCCCAAAATCCAACCAGCCCGACCCCAAACCCCCCATCTGCCCCTCGGCACCCACCGCTGCCCCCCGCCCTCCCAGGCCCCTTTTCCCACGGGAACTCCGTGTTTTTCTGGCTTTGCCCCGGGTTTGGTGCTGCCCCAGCCCCACCTCGGCTCCCTTCTGCAGCAGCAGCTCCACGCAGTCGGCGTCAGCCACCATGCAGGCGCAGTGCAGCGGCTTCAGCGTCCCGTGCAGGCAGTTCACGTCCGCACCCTGCGGGCACAGGGACCACCACGGGGTCAGCAACACACCCCGGGGGCACAGGGAGCACCCCGGGGTCAGCAACACACCCTGGGGGCACAGGGACCACCCCGGGGGCACAGGGACCACCCCGGGGTCAGCAACACACCCCGGGGGCACAGGGACCACCCCGGGGTAAAAACCCACACCCCGGGGGCACCGGGACCACAAGGGGGTCAGAAAACCCACCCTGGGGGCACAGGGACCACCCTGGGGGCACAGGGACCACCCCGGGGTCAGCAACACACCCCGGGGGCACAGGGATCACCCTGGGGGCACAGGGACCACCCCGCGGTCAGCAACACACCCCAGGGGCACAGGGACCACCACGGGGGCACAGGGACCACCCCGGGGTCAGCAACACACCCTGGGGGCACAGGGACCACCCTGGGGTCAGCAGCACATCCCAGGGGCACAGGGACCACCCCGGGGTCAGCAAACCCACCCCGAGGGGCACAGGGATCGCCCCGGCATCAGAAAACCCACCCCGGGGGGCACAGGGACCACCCCGGGGGGCACAGGGACCACCCCTGGGGTCAGCAAATCCACCCCGGGGGTCTCCGAACCCACCCGACCAGGCTCCCAGCCCACCCTCTCCCCTCCCCGGGGGTCTCACCCTGCCGATGAGGGTCCCCCCAAACCCCCCGGGGGTCTCACCCTGCCGATGAGGGTCCCCCCCTGAGCCCCCCGGGGGTCTCACCCTGCCGATGAGGGTCCCCCCAAACCCCCCGGGGGTCTCACCCTGCCGATGAGCTCCTCCACGTTGTCGCGGGGGAAGGAGCGGATGGCGGCGATGGTCCGGATCAGGCGCTCGGACAGCGAGTACTTGCTCTGGATGCTCTGCATGATGTACCACATGGCGGGGGGGCATCCCCGGGAGCCCCCCGCGCCGACCCGGGGCTGAAGGGAGGAGGGGGGGTGCTGGGGGGGGGGGCGGGGGAGGAGCCGCGGAGGCCCGAGAAGGGTCCGGGGGGGTTCAGAGGGGGTGAAGGGAGTGCCGGGGAGGGCCGGGGGGATTTAAGTGCGGTCTAAGGGGGTCTCGGGGGGGGGGGGTGTCAAAGGGGTCCCGGCGGTGTTCCGGGTGGTCTCGAGGGGGTTCCGGGGGGTCCCGGGGATGTTCCGGGGGGTCTCGGGGGTATTTTGGGGGTCCCGGGGCGGCTCCAGGCCCGGCGGGAGGCGGAAACCGCCGCTAACCCGGAAGTGACGCACGCCGAGCCGCGCACGCGCGCGGGAGGGAGCCCGCGCCCCGCCCCCTGCGCTCTCCTCCACCAATCCGACTCCGTCTCGCACAGGTCCCGCCCCCACCCTTCACTATCACCCAATGGCAGGCGCCTGCCTCCCCCAAGCCCCGCCTCCGCCTATGCTCTCCGCCAATCCGCGCAGAGAGGGGCGGGGCCGCAGCGGCCGCGTGAAGACGGCGTGTGGCGCCCCCCAGCGGCCCGGGGGGGCGGGGACCCCATAAATGTTGGAGGGAAAAAAGGGTTTTTGGGGTCCTAAAGGGGTTTTAGGGGTGCTGGGACCCCGTGGCCCCCCCAAAGACCCCCCAGGGCCCCCCTCTCACCCTGGAGCCTCCCCCAAACCCGAGGGGTCCCCGTCCCGTCCCCCCTCTCAGGAGCCCCCCAACCACCCCCTCCCCTATTTCGTGAGCCCCCCCACCCTGGGGGTCCCCTCCCCCTCTTTCAAGACCCCCCAACCCCCCCCCTTTCCACGAGCCCCCCCAAATTCCCCCCCATCCCCCTCCCTCCCTCTCAGGACCCCCCCAAACGCCCCCCCCGGACCCCCAAAGGCGCTCAAAAAACCACCAAAACAGCCCCAAATCGGCCCAAAACCGGCGGGTTTTTTTTTTTGAACTCTCCTCCTTTCCCAACTTCTCCAGGAATCCCGGGAATTCTCCCAACATTCCCGGGAATCCTCCCGCGGCTCCGCTACCGCCGGGGCTCCGGCCCGATCCCGAGGGGATCCCGATCCCACCGGGAACGGCCCCGCGCCGGCCACGGGGGGGGACCCTGAGGGGGGGAAATTGGTGGTGGCGACTGGATTTGGGGGGTGGCGACTGGATTTGGGGGGGTGGCGACTGCATTTGGGGGAGTGGCTACCGGATTGGGGGGGGCTGCTACTGGATTTGGAGGCGTGGCTACCAAATTTGGGGGCGTGGCTACTGAATTTGAGGGGTGGCAACCGGATTTGGGGGAGTGGCAACCGGATTTGGGGGGTGGCGACTGGACTTGGGGGCATGGGTACCAAATTTGGGGGCGTGGCTACTGCATTTGGGGGGTGGCTACTGGATTTGGGGGGGTGGCTACTGCATTTGGGGGGTGGCTACTGGATTTGGGGGGGGGCTACTGGATTTGAGGGGTGGCTACTGGATTTGGGGGTTGGCTACTGGATTTGGGGGGGTGGCTACTGCATTTGGGGGGTGGCCACCGAACCAACGACCCCTCCCAGTCCCTCCCAGTGCCCCCAAATCCCTTCCCAGTCCCTCCCAGTGCCTCCCAGTGCCACTGAACCTCCTCCCAGTTCATCCCAGTGCCTCCCAGTGCCACTGAGCCCCCTCCCAGTTCATCCCAGTCCCCCCCAAAGCCCTCCCAGCCCCCCCAAATCCCCCTCCCAGTCCCTCCCAGCTCCTGAAGCCCCTCCCAGTTCATCCCAGTCTCTCCCAGTGCCCCCAGATCCCTGTCCCAGTGTCTCCCAGTATAATCCCAAAGCCCCCAGTCCCTCTCTCAGTCCCCCCCAAATCCCTTTCCCAGTGCCTCCCAGTGCCACTGAACCCCCTCCCAGTTCATCCCAGTCCCCCCCCAAAGCCCTCCCAGTCCATCCCAGTACCTGCCCCTCGCTTGTCCCAGTCACGGGGGGCACTGAGGGGGGAAAAGGGGCATTAGGGGGGCACAGGGGGGGTTTGGGGTCCCCCCAGAGCAGGGGCAGACCCACAGGGGTCCTACAGGGGGTCTTGAGGGGCACTGAGGGGGGAAAAGGGGCATTAGGGGGGCACAGGGAGTTTTGGGGTCCCCCCAGAGCAGGGGCACACCCACAGGGGTCCTACAGGGGGTCTTGGGGGGCACTGAGGGGGGAAAGGGGCATAAAAGGGGCATTAGGGGGGCACAGGGGAGTTTTGGGGTCCCCCCAGAGCAGGGGCACACCCATCAGGGCTTATGGGGTCCTACAGGGGGTCTTGGGGGGCACTGAGGGGGGAAAAGGGGCATTAGGGGGGCACAGGGGGGGTTTGGGGTCCCCCCAGAGCAGGAGCAGACCCAAAGGGATTTATGGGGCCCTACAGGGGGTCATGGGGGGCACTGAGGGGGGAAAAGGGGCATAAAAGGGGCATTAGGGGGGCACGGGGGGGTTTTGGGGTCCCCCCAGAGCAGGGGCACACCCACAGGGGTCCTACAGGGGGTTTTGGGGTCCCCCCGTGGGGTTTTGGGGTCTCACCAGGAGAGGCGGCTCCGGACAGGGCCGGGGTGGCCCAGGGGACCCACAGGGAGGGTCCGGGGGTGGCCCTGGGGGAGGGAGGGGGGGGGTCAGGGGGGTCCGCCCCCCAAAATCCCCCAAAACCACCCCCCCCACACCTGGACACTCACCTGCGGCCCTGCCCGTGGGCGGAGACTGGAGACGGGGCTGGGGGCGGAGTTAGGGCGGGGTTAAGGTGGAGGGGGCGTGGTCGGGGTAGCGGGGAGGGGCGTGGCTATGAAGGGAGGGGGCGGGGCTTACAGATACAAGGGCTGGGATTGGGTGGAGGGAGAGAAGGGGGCGTGGTGAAGGGAGGGGGCGGGGTTTATGTGTAAAGGGGAGGGGTTTGGGTGTAAAGGGGAGGGGTTTGGGTGTAAAGGGGAGGGGTTTGGGTGTAAAGGGGTGCGGCCTGGGTGCAAAAGGGGCGTGGCTTAGGAAAAGAGTCATTAGGGGAAACGGCGTGGGGTAATGAAGGGGCAGGGCTTAAAGCGGGGGGCGGGGCTTGATCTGAGGGGAGGGGCTTAGAGCCAAGGGGTGGGATTTGATTTGAGGGGAGGGGCTTAGAGCCAAGGGGTGGAGCTTGATCTGAGGGGAGGGTCTTGGAGCCAAGGGGTGGGGCTTGGAGTTGAGGGGAGGGGCTTGAGCTGAGGGGAGGGGCATTGAATCAAGGGGTGGGGCTTGGAGCAGGAGGAGGGGCTTAGGGGCCTGAGGGGTGGGGCTTGTTGCCAAGTGGGCGGGGCTTGAGGCAGCATTTTGGGGTAAAACCTCAGGGATTTGGGGCTGCTCACCCACGCTGGAGACCACGGGTGTCCCTGACTCCCTGTAGGCTCCGCCCACCTGTGGCTGGGGCGCAAAGCATTGTGGGAAACACCCCCCCCTTATTTTTTGGGGTCCCCCCCGTTTGGGGGGGCGGTGGGGGAGGTCTCACCTGCCATAGTGGGGTGCTGCGGGACTGGGGGGGCTCCAGCGGGGCCGAGCGGCTGCAGAGAAGGAGCGGGGAGGGTTGGGGGACCCCCCCTCCTGTGCAACTTGGGGGGCCCCCCACCCTAAACTTGGGGGGTGCCACCTCTCCTCACCTGACCACCTGGCCACTGAGCTGCCGGCGGGGCTGGGGGGTCACTGGAAGGGAGGGAGGAATTTAGGGGGGGCTCCTATGAGGGGGAGAGGGTTTAGGGGGGTGGAGGACCCCCCCCTAAAAAAGTGGGGGGGTCCTTTACCTGACTGCGAGGGGGAGGTGATGCCGATGGGGCGGGGGGTGCTGCTGCGGCTGCCCCTGAGCCAGCCCGGGGAGAGCTGCGGGGAGAGGTGGGGGGCAGTTTTTTTGGGGGGGCCAGGGGGGCACGGGAAGGGCAGGGGGGGAACTGGGGGGGGTCACCTGAGCTCGGCGCAGCTCCGCGTTCTCCCGGCGAAGAGACTCCACCTGCCTGGGAGGGGAGAGGGAATGGTGGGCAGGGGGGGTGGGAACCCCCAGGTGGGACCCCCCTGTGTCCCCCCCAGCAGGGAGGGGTCCCTCCCTCACCTCCTCCTCTCCGCCAGCTCCTCTTTGGCCTCCTCCAGCGCCGCCTGCGCCCGGCGAGCCTTGTCCCGCAGAGATTCCAGCAGCAGCTGCACTTGGGACATCTGGAACCGCCACACCTGCCAGGGGAGCGGGGACAGGGCTGGGGCATCATCCCCTCGTCACCCATGTCCTCATCCCCCTTGTCACCCATGTCCTCCTCACAGGGACAGGGCTGGAGCATCGGCCCCTTGTCACCCACGTCCTCATCCCCCTTGTCACCCATGTCCTCCTCATGGGGACAGGGCTGGAGCATCGGTCCCTTGTCACCCACGTCCTCATCCCCCTTGTCACCCCCATCCTCATCCCCCTTGTCACCCCCATCCTCATCCCCCTCGTCACCCATGTCCTCATCCCCCTTGTCACCCATGTCCTCCTCATGGGGACAGGGCTGGAGCATCGGTCCCTTGTCACCCACATCCTCATCCCCCTTGTCAGCCATGTCCTCCTCACCCATGAGGGGACCAGGGACAGGGCTGGACCATTGTCCCCTTGTCACCCCCATCCTCATCCCCCTCATCACCCCTATCCTCATCCCCCTCGTCCCCCACATCCTGGGAGCTTTTCCCAGGGTAATTCCAGCTGGGAAAGGCCGGGGTTGTGTGTACAGGCACCTCAGTGCCACTGAAATACGTGGTGAGAGCTGTGATCAGTGTTGAAGAAGGAGGTTAAGGGGACACAGAGGAGTTGGAGGTTGTGCCGGGGGAGGGTTAAATTGGACACCAGGAAAAAGTTTCCGTGGGAAGGGTTGTAAAGCATTGGAAGAGGCTGGAAGTGTTCAGAAAATGGGGATGTGGCACTTGAGGATGTGGTTCAGTGGTGACTGTGGTGGCGGGTTATGGTCGGACTTGAGGATCATAAAGGTCTTTTCCAGCCTTAACAATTCCGGGGTTCCATTCCAGGGTTCCAGTCCTCATCCCCCCGTCACCCGTGTCCTCCTCACCTGTGAGATGTGGGAGAGGTGCCTGAGGGCGATGGATGCTGGACTCTTGAAGAAAAGCTTATCCTGGGGGCGCATCTGTTGGGAATGGGGCGGAAAAAGGGAGAGAAAAAAAGGGAGGGATGAGAGTGGGAAACGTGAGGGGGAAAGGGTGGGAAATCTGAGGGGAGAAGGGCGGGGAATGTGAGGGGAAAGGGTAGGGAATGTGAGGGGGAAAGGATGAGGAATGTGAGGGGGAAAGGGTGGGAAATGTGAGGGGAAAAGGGTGGGAAATGTGAGGGGGAAAGGGTGGGAAATGCGAGGGGAGAAGGGGGAGAAATGTGAGGGGGAAAGGGTGGGAAATGTGAGGGGGAAAGGATGAGGAATGTGAGGGGGAAAGGGTGGGAAATGTCAGGGGAAAAGGGTGAGAAATGTGAGGGGAAAGGGTGAGAAATGTGAGGGGGAAAGGGTGGAATTGTGAGGGCAAGGGGGGGGGAATTGTGCGGGACAGGGTGAGGCAATGTGAGGGGAAAGGGGGGAAATGTGAGGGGGAAAGGGTGGGAAATGTGAGGGGAAAAGAGTGAGAAATGTGAAGGGAAAAGGATGGGAAATGTGAGGGGGAAAGGGCGGGAAATGTGAGGGGAAAGGGTGGGAAATGTGAGGGGGAAAGGGTGGGAAATGTGAGGGGAAAAGAGTGAGAAATGTGAAGGGAAAAGGATGGGAAATGTGAGGGGGAAAGGGCAGGAAATGTGAGGGGAAAGGGTGGGAAATGTGAGGGGAGAAGGGCAGGAAATGTGAGGTGGAAAAGGGTGGGAAATGTGAGGAGGAAAGGGCAGGGAAAGGGAGAGAAAAGAGGTGAGAAGAAGGGTGGGAAGGGGTGAGGGTGAGGGGAGAAGGTGGCGGGGGACACACGGGACACGACTGGCCTGGTGGGACAGGAGCAGGTATCGGCAGGCGGAGGAACAGACGGGGCAGGGACCTGTAGGAGAGGGAGAGAAAATAAAAGTGAGGAAATAGGAAAAAAAGGTGGATTTGAAGGTTTAAATTCAGCAAAAAAAACCCTCCTTGTTTTCCATTGTTTTGTGTTTAAACCGAGGAGGATCCCCCTTCTTTTCACCCGAGATTTTAAGTGTTTCGGTTGAAGGAAGACCTGCCTTTTAGGGTTTCAGTTGAGGTGGGATCTGCCATTTCCATCACTTTAAGGGTTTAAACTGAGGGAAAATCCCCCTTTTCCCGTCATTTGAGGAACTTAAATTGAGGGAAAACCCTCTTTTTCCCCGATATTTTAGTGGTTTCAGTTGAGGTGGGATCCTCTCTTTCCACCACTTTAAGGGTTTAAACTGAGGGAAAATCCCCCTTTTCCCATCATTTGAGGAATTTAAAATGAGGGAAAACCCTCTTTTTTTTTTCCCTGATGTTTTAGGGGTTTAAATTGAGGGAGAGGAACCCAATTTTGCCGTCTCGAGCCGCCATTTTCCCCTCGTTTTGAGGGGGTAAACTGAACGAAATTCCCCCTTTCTCGGCATTTCCAGGGTTCAAACGCCCTCCCTCGGTTTCAGGGTGTTTCTTACCTGTGCCCCCGCAGGCCTGGCACAAGATGTGGCCGCAGCTGGTGACGGCAAACTGGGTGCCCTCCTGGCGATAGCAGCGGTTGCAGTGGAACCAGTCCATGGCAGGGCTGGGCCGAGGAGCCGCCTCCGGCACGTCCGTACCCGGGGGCAGCCCGGGAGGGAATGAGGGGAAAGGGTGGGAAAGAGGAGGGAAAAGGGTGGGGAATGTGAGGGAGAAAGGGTGAGAAATTTGAGGGGAAAGGGTGAGAAATGTGAGGGGGAAAGGGCGGGAAATGTGAGGGAAAAAGGGTGGGAAATGTGAGGGGAAAAGGATGGGAAATGTGAGGGGGAA